AAATTGAATTAAATTGAAAATTGAATTGAATTATCTTTGTACAAGAAAACTGACCGCATCAACTTGAGAAAGTGTGTATATTTTGGTTATTTTTGTATTTTTTTCGAGATTTAATATTTCTAGTTTTATTTGTCCATAGCTTTCTTAATATTCGATCCTGCATTGGGCCTCGAGGGAAAGAGACAGGATCGCTAGCAGACGACTTCGAATGTTGATGATAAGCTCGCGCGAGCGTGTTCTTGAGCCAAATCGAGTTTGCTTTCGGCACCGTTTCAGCATATCTGGACGTGGTTAATGTAAACATCATATTTGGCTGATGTAAAACAACAAAGCTTGCCCGCTGAGAACGCATGATTTATTAGAAAACAAGCTACCATGTACGGTCGAGGCATTATTTTATTCCCCAAGTATATAAATCTGATAAACTGAAAAAAAAAAAAAATACGCTGGCACATCATCCCTGGTATCACAACTTTTTTGTATATTCAAAAGCTACGCCAAGTTGAACGTCCTATGCCTTGCCGCCAACAAGCGCCTTCTCTTAGTGTATCGGTGCTCGGTGGCACCCGAAAGAAATGCGACTGACTCCGTGTCACGGCAAACCAAAAAGAATGTTTATTCCCTCGTGCCCCTGCACAAGTCACGGGCCCCACGGCACGCGCGTTCGTGCCTCGCTTATATAAAACGGGAAGTTCAAAAGAGACTCACGCCACACTTAGTGCACAGACAGTCGTACAAAATCACTTTTTCTAAATTGCTTTCGCTGTATAGAGCCAACTCCAAGTCATGGTCAAAAAGATCGAGCGCCATTGTTGTCGGAAAGCTCGTCTGCTTCTTTAGCAGACGAACATTTTAGAACTTCGCCTAAAGCCCCTTGATAAAAGCGTTTTTACAAGTACCGCCAACCATTGTTGTGGAAGCGCGCGAGACACGTGCCATGAGCGGGTGCTCCGCCGCCATTCGCTTCCAAGGCCCGCTCATTTCAGTGCTGCGCCGCCATTTGCTTCCAAGGGCCGCTCGAGACATGGGCCTCGTGCACTCGCGCATTTGACGCTACTTGCACGACAAGCGCAAACACATCGAGGGGCTTTAACTTCGCCGTGCTAGGGGCGACACGCCGTGGTGCGCCAGGTTTTGTATTACGGAAGCGCATTCATTCTAGTAAAAAAACGAGACGAACTATAAGTAGGTATACAATATTTTAGGTTTTCTATATATTTAGGGTGCGATCTTTATTTACTTGAGTTTCTGCGATTTGTACAAACACACGCAAATTTGTCTTTTCACGATGAGGCGGATGCAGGTTTCCGTTGCCAGGGGGCGCGACCTGTACCGATCGTCTGCAATGGTCTGCAAATACGGATCCCCCAAAGCCGTTTCAGGGCACACGATCGGTCCACACGCCCGATCTAAGGTATCGATCGTTTTTGTTTATCGATCGTATTTTGTTCCGGTTCCCTAAAACTCTCTATTGTTATTTGTATTCCCCATCCGTGTAGTTCAAAAGCTAGCCGCTTGGGGTGCCACGGTCTGATCTCCTCAATAGCCGGTTATACAAAGGATTTTCTATAGCCGATGATAGAACATTTTTGTAAGGGCTATCGATGTTAATATATATTTTTTCTCAGCGCCAACACTGTGCAATGAACAAATAAAGAGTTAACATTATTATTCGAATTATTATAATTTTAGAGGAGGAAAGTCGCAGGTTCCTCTTTCTCTAAAGAGGTGAAGATATGTGTGCTGACCCGTGGAGATTTCACACTGGTACGTAAGTTTGCATGCTGTTCCGGTTTTCTTTTTTTTTTTTTTTTTTTAAGCATAAGCATTTATTGTTTTGCTGCTCGCAGCCGTCTTTGGTTTGGACGGTCGGGGTTTGGACTCGACTGGACTGCCTTCGTGAGGCCCCGGCGCTGTTCCCTGCCGTGCTCTTACGCTCCCTTCGTTCGCTCGTTACGTCCACTTTCCCTCCTACGTAAGAGCGAGAGTGGCCTCGCACGCTTCGAATGACGCACCGCTGTTGACGCGCACCCTTACGATGGTACCGAGGAGTATTCGCGACTCCAGCGAACTATAGGGGGCGCGCTGGTCAGGCGAAATGGCTAGGGAGGCTGTAGTGAGGGTGGGCGCAACTCAAAACCTGGAGAGCGTTTGCAATTTAGTGGCGGCTCCTGAGGGAGAGGATTCGAGAAAGGATATGCGCCAGTGTTGCCTGCACGAGAGCAGGCGCCCGCTCTGTTGCAACTCTGTTGCTCCATGCGCCTTTCCTCCTCTCGCATCCCATTGCAAGCAACGAGCGCCTTGGCGCAGCCTCTTTCGCTTCCTTCTCGCTCCGAGAATTGCAAACGTCGAGCGGAGAAAGCAAAGTTGCCAGACAAGCAGCAACGTCCAAGATGGCGGAATTTACCATTTTTCGCGTTAAAAAAATACTTAACCTATCGCAACAAAACTGGTGGCTATGAAAAAGTAATCATTTATACCTTGTGTAAATTATTCAAGCACCTTAATAGGCGTTTATGACCCGAGTTAGGAAAGAAAACGACCCTTTGCCCCATAGACTCCCAGCAAAATTTAGCAATTAAATGGCGTCCATGTCCCGTGATCGCCGATCTAGCAGTTGCACCCACCCTCACTTGAGCCTCCCTAGAAATGGCGGACGAAAGGAGGTCCTTTTCGCCGCTCAGCACGCGAACCACCATAAATTTCTTGCATTGCAGCGTAAAATCGGTGTGACATATGAAAGCAAAGCGATTTTTCGACAGTAGAAACCTTCCTCTAGTCAGTGCATAGAAATGACACGACGGAAGCATAAAAATAATTACTGGGAACGATGTTTGTTTTTATGCATGCCTATGAGAACCAAGCAGCGATAGCAGACGACAGAGTCGAAACGACTTCCTCTCCTGAGCTTCTCGGCGTTGTCGCTACGCGGCGGCGATTTCGCTGGAGTCGCCAATAGGCACATGGTTTAATTTCCCCAGTATGCACAACGTACGCGACAACGTAAAACCGCGGCGCAACGATAACGACGTTTGCTCGAAACCGCCAAACCCGGTAGAAAGATTGGCGCTTCGCAGACAACAGTATGGAAGGAGGTAAGAACAGAAGAGGAAGTCGGATCTGGGGGAATCTGCGGTGGCTACATCCGAAGCCGCCCACCCCCAGAGTAACGTTGCCCGGAAGTACAGACTGGACCTCCCAAGACAACAGTCTACGGACCGTTGCGAAGTTGGAATTCCCATCTTCCTCTAAATCGGAACCTCTGCTAAACGCTAACGGTTTTCGTCGCGAATTAGCGTAGCGGCAGCAGCGATTTCGGCATCATTTTTTTTTATTGAATCGAAAACTTACCAGAATAAACACTGGTGCAATGAAAAGTTACGTTTCATAAATGCATATAGTTATCATTTCTGTATGTGTTATAGTATTATTTTGTTAATTGATTTTTTTGTTTCAAATAGCCAAAATGAACAGCTTTGATTTTTTTTTTTTTCCTAATGCGTCGTCAATTTTTACAGATTCCAAATAAGAGAAAGATGGAAACCTTTTTGTTGTCTTTATCGAATTTTATTTAAATCAAGCTTGACAAAGCACCGCGCCATCCGCATCAGAACTGTGCTTGCACGGGCATCAAAACCACGCGGTAAAATAACCGGGTGACACTTCGGCAGATGATGCCTCAGGAAATTTCCTCAAATTCAGTCTCCGTAGGTTCCAGCGTGGTCGGGGCTTCAGTGGTCCAACCAGTTATATCCGCCGTGCAGTTTTTCTCTGCTTCTATTATTAGCTTTTCTGTAACTTGAACTGCAGCAGAAGACCCCGTTTTACTGTCTTTGTCAGTGTCTGTGCTCTCTTCGTCCTCTTCAGAGTATGAGTTTCCATTTGACCCCTATATCGAAGGAATTTGCACAGTCGTTAGACAGAAATAGTGTAAGGTAAATAAAATCTTCGCACTAATCACTCCGCAGCCTATACAAACATAGTTTTACTCGATGGGAAAAAAGCCCGACTACAGTGAGAATAACAAGAAGTTCATGGAACGTATATACTGTTCCGATGTTTTGTTCCGAAATTAAGAAGCTTTTTTATAACAGTTGCATTAGTACATATTTAGTTATTTATAAATATTTCTTTATATGCACATATCAAAAAATATAAAAAAAAAATAATTAAATACCTTTTTTTTAACTTTTTTAACACCAAGTACTTTGCTCCTGCCAGTGGAACGGCAAAACCAGTACAAAGGTCGTTCTGACTTCTGGTGATAATGTTAATAAACAGGCGAGCTGGTTTAAGTTACACATAGTTAAAACAAGAGACTACAGGTATAAAGGGACGGGGAAAGAGCACGATGGTTGTCGTGTCATTTTATTTCCGTCGTCTCCGATTTCAACTCCATGCCCTGACTTCACTCCTTACAGTGCTAACTCATCTCTTTCTATAGTTCTCACGCTAATACCCTCGTTCTTACAACATATGTATACCGCTATAATTGTATAACTGAGTCAACGTATTGAAAAAGAAAACTTTGACTTTTATGATAGATTACCCTTTTTTTATTTTTGAAAGACGCTGCGTCAGAATAAGCAAGATATTTCCGTAACTCCACGTATGTGTCAGTGACATAAAAGTAAACACGAAGAGTGGACAGCATAAATACCTCGAGGTGCTGCATATCTGTCAACAATGACTAAGTACCAATGAGAAGAAGTTGCATGAGAACGAGGAAGAACAAGTGGAGTAAGTTGAAAGAGAAATCGGACGAAAATATTTTTGTCGACGCACCAGGATATGAGATATAGCTCATTTTTGTCCCAAGAAATTACATTTATCGTTTCCTTGTTTAATTTACCCTCGTTCTCTCTTTTTTCTTTTTTTGTTACATGTGTTTTATTTTTGCATTAAAGTGAATACCTACCAGTTGCTTTTGGACACAAAAATACACGTTATTATTTATATAATATATTATCTTTGATTTCCGAAGTGTGTCGCCAACTTACCATATAAACTAAGTAGAAGTCATCAGGCATCGCAACAGTCTGCGCAGAAGAAAAAACAAATATGTCAGCCTCTTTATTATATTTATACATATATATATTTTTTTTCAGATTGGTTTAGCCCGGTATATCGCAGAATCGAAATACCTCAAGAGACGAGGAGGAGAGGGTAGGGATGAGGACGAGGGGCATACCCTCCCCTCCTCCTCCTCAAAAGCTGCGTTTTGATTGGGCATTATAGGCAGTTGTAAACGTCTTTCCTTTTTTAAGACAAATTTTTTAAACTTAAAAAATATACCCATATATATATATATATATATATATATATATATATATATATTGTAAGCGAGAGAGAGAGACAAAAATATAGTATATCGTCCACCAATGTAATCGATAGTAATCGTCACACTACGCCTTCAACGATTACCTTTTTTTTCTTTTCATTGCCTCTTTTTATTGACTATTTGTGGAGTTTGAGGGCACGTGAATGCAAAACACGCACCGAACTCTGGCACCGAATGCGCTGTTCAATCTTAACATGTGAAATGGAAGGAGAAGAAAATGACAGTGACATCTCAAAGTATTGGAGTGCAAGGAGTGCAGCATTTAAGCATAGGTCGTTTAAACTTCTTTAGAAAATATTTAATTGTCGTATTGGAGAGAGTGAAGAATCTATTGTTTATTCATTTCCCCCTTAAATGTAGCTGGAGGATAGTTTCAGTTTATCCGCTAAATTTAGTGGGTAAACTGAATTGGTGCATTGGATAGGCGACGTAAATTTCCCTGCAAAATATAGCGAGGATGTTGAATGGTTGTGTGAGTCATCTGACGTTCGCTATCCCTGCTAAATTTAGCGGGAAAGTGAATTGGTGTATCAGTCGCGTGATGTTCTTTTCTTCGCAAAACTTACGGTGGAAACTGAATTGGTGTGTAGTTAGCGTGGCGTCGAGTCGCGGGAAGTCATGCTATCAATCAGAAGGACGGGCGAACATATATCTGCGATTTTAAGGTTCCGTTAAAAAGCATCCTATGTTTTAAAAAATAAAATTTCGATTGCAGAGCAAATGAAAATACCACAAAAAATGTGAATCACGTAGGCCGTTTGATTGTGGTTTTGTCTTTAACTACTGCTTGGATGCAAATAATAAGACCAACATTATATAAGATCTCTACAGATGATTATTATCGTCTAGAAATTAATGCCTGAATTTCCGTCCCCGAGTAATTACCTAATAATAAAAAGCAACTCTATGTTGCTGTTTTCTATGCATCTTTTTTTTTTTTTAACAGGCGTCAATTTTTCGCGCTAATATATGTAAAAACAGATACAGTTAATGGATTCTCGACTTTCAGAATATACCTGGTATTTTGCTCGCATTTCGAGGCGATGTAGGCGCGCATACTTCACTACGCTTTGAAGATTGCACGCTGAGCTGCGCGTGTTGCAAATTTTGCCACCGAAAAAGGTTCAAAACAAATAAATGCCTTTGCTTTACGAAATAAATTCAAAAGCCAAGATAGTTAAGGAGCTCACTATTGGATGTCTAGATTAAAAAGAATCCAGAATTCGTAGAACATGACACGTTGAATAAGTAAAATACAGAAATAGATCTAAGTTTTTTCTGCCATGTTGGTCTTTCAATCGCGGAAGTATTTAAAAGCAGCTAGCACTGTGCATGAAACAAGCCCTTGTAGATCAAGGTGTTTATCCAAACAATCGGTATCTACTTACAAAGTTGCAAATCAAATTTACGAACTCAGGTATGGTTTTGTTAATTCGATGCCTAATTCTTTCCCAGGTTTCATTCACCTGCAAAAGAAAGAACAAAATAACAGCTACAAATTTGCATCATAATGTATGTGCACCAAGAAGATCGTAAAGTATGTGCTAGTTTACTTTGAATACGCCACTAGGTCTCTAAGCCAGGTGGCACACATTTCAACATTTCAAGGCGCAATACCTGCAACGAACTCAGCAGAGAGGAGCGACAATTTTTGTGTTGTTGTTATTCTTTTTTTTAGAAATTCTGTCCCAATTAGCAGATTCGCAAGACTGCTTGTAGATTTTTGCAATATCAGCTGTTTACTTTAGATGCCTCGACATTTAAGAAAATCATTCAGCTTGTCAGCGAATCAATCCTTAGACAAGTAATATTTTTGGTTGTTCTGTGTGCCTATTTGACGTAGGTGGCGGTAGCCTGGCGTGAAGCCCTTTATTACATCTAGTCGATTAGGCATTTATAAGGTGACCTTTTTAGCCGAATATAAATTTACAATAACAAACAATAAATAATTTTAAAGTGCTATTCAATAAACTATAAAAACTATGGATAGACAATCTGATGAAATAACAAGTATTATCGTTAAAATAAATTACAGAAAAGAAAACAGAAGGCCACAATGTATGCTTGTTGGAAGTGCCGCTTTTAAGGTAAAAGCCCCCTTTCTCCCGGACAGTTCCAACGCCTTTAGACAAGTGACTCAAGCACGAGCATAGGCCATACCAACATAGGCGAAAAGTCTTCAATTTCCTTGGAGGGGGAAGGGAAGGTTTCCAGACTGAGCGTATCTGCCTTCCCGATGAGTTCCTTTTGGGTGCCCGGGGGGAGGGGGGGGGGGGGGGCTTTGTTTGTTTATATTGGGAAATTTCCGGCGAGGCTAGGAGGGTAATGCTCCCAAGAACACCCCCAAACACCCCCCCCCCCCCCCCCCTAATCGGCGCCCAAGCAAACCAAGACCCTGACTGATAATGCGCGAGTACTTATTGTTTGAGTGGATTGATCGCCTATTTATCTACGGCCTCTAGGCATTCTAAAAAAGGCCCTATATTACATTCATGGACCGCCGCTTTCCCTTTTAAAATATAATATAAAATATAAAATATATATAAAATATAAAATACAGGCCCCTCTTTCTGCGCAAGGGAGCTGACACCAGGGGGCGCAGTCAGACGGCGTTTCTGTACAATAATTGCTGTATTACGTCTCCTACACCCAAATATGTGATGTCTTTGTCAATATATAATGCACAACGCGCCTAAAAAGGGTAATAATAGTAATATCTGGAATCTCCATACAATTACCTATTTTCATTGGTCCAATTTTCTGGAGACGGTAAGGAGCCAACGATGTCGTCAAAGTGTATTTCACAAGTCGTTTGTTTGTTGTTGTTTTTTTGTTATTTTTTTTTTTTTGTTGTTGTAAAATTACAAAGCGTAGCTCCCTTTCTGTAAAATATGGCCAAAAAACTTGCCAGGGTTAGCGGCGGACGGCGACACCGACTACCGAGTCGAGTTGCGGGGTGCCTTTAGCGCGCGTATTGATAGATGACGTCGGAGCAGCGTCGGAAGGTGTAGCCGACCAGCGAAAGAAAGCAGACGACACGCAGTTGAAATCCGTTGGCAGCAAAAGCGCAAAGCGCCGTCGTTATACAAACACGTTGAGTTTTGTAGCGTGAGCTACACTGACCGAAATTGAGCAGTTTCGCGTGGCTCCCAAAGAGCCATGCTGCGCATGCGCGAGGAGCAGTAACGTCACACGGTGCACAGCTGGCGCGCCGGAGCCGCCGCCGCGCGCGCCTCGCCGGTCTGCGCATTCCAGAGGAGTGACGTCATAACCGCGGCAGACGCACTGGCGCCGCCGCGTGCCCAGCTGTGCGCCTCCGCTGCGCAGTAGCCAAGTCTGACGCTGCACCGGAGCCGCTTGATAGCGCCTCTCATTTTGTGCGCATAAGCTCACGCTACGTATATCCTGGCACAGCCGAGCTAAGCCGCCGCTTTTTTTCTTTTTTACTTTAAGTTCTGCTTTTATTGTCTGCATTTATTGTTCAGTAGAAAAAAAAGATATGTTAATTTTAATGAACCACGGTGGTCGCGTGCAGTCGCGAATATTATCCAGTGATTTAGTCGCGATTAGAGTTCCTGTATAGGCTCCCTACGGGAGCCAGAGTTGCGCGTTCATGCATGGCATGTGGATACAGCTCCTCAGGTGACTGAATTCGGCGAATAGCACCGCCGCGCGTTGGAGGCGCGCGGCGGGCTCAAAAGCCGGGGAACGTAAGCCGGGACGCGTGCAACGTCTACTTTGCTGCACGACACTTGATACGGCTCCTCACGTGATCGGATCTCGGCGAATAGCGGCGAGGGCGGCACGCGGCACGTGGAATCAAACGCGCAACTCTGGCTCCCGTAGGGAGCCTATACAGGAACTCTAGTCGCGATAAGGAGGCAGCGCCATCTATCAATAAGAGCCCCAAACGCGCCCCGCAACTCGACTTGGTCGTCTGCGTCGCCGCCCGCCGTTGACCCTGGCAAGTTTCTTGGTCCTGCTTTTACAGAAATGGAGCCACGCTCTCTAATTTTACAAGACAAGACCGACCTGTGAAATATACCAATGACGCAAAGTTTAGATTGCTACGTGAAGGCGCGGATTTTTACGGCCCATTTTAGATAGAGCGTGGTGACTCCAGTCACGATATATGATATTTTCTAAGCCAAAAAAAGAGAAAATTGTCACAAGATAGACTCACGACTGGGGGCAAATGATTGAGCGTGCAGTTGTAAACGGCTTCCGCATGGCTTGAATTCCTATACTGTGCCCCTGATACACACACAAAAAAGATATTGATAAACATTTTAAACGTTGTAGACATGATTATATGCGTTTAAAACGGAAAGTATATTTGCATGCTTTATCTAATCTTAATTATTTAGATTCCAAACAATTCACGAGAGAATTTGTTATTTGAGCCATCAATCTGAATGAAAAGCAATGAATAAATAAATGAACATGCTAAGTTCAATTTCGGCAATTGGGTACAGCTAAATTCTGTACTCATAAAGCGCGTTTTTTTCTTTAAATCAGGCGCAGTGCAAACCTATCTTTTGCTCCCTGCACAAAATATGTTTGCACTCTCACTGCATCTCACTCCGTGCAACATTAATTTTCTTATCTTAGTGTTTGCGCGAGACAAACTGCTATTTCTGTACACATCTATAGAATCTTTGCATTGATCGCTATGGAAAAATTTCGATGCACTGCATTGCTATCGATTTATCTTTTATTTATTTAAACAAACAAAACGTAAAAAGGCCTAATCACAACATGCGATTCAATTACACTTACCGCACAATCCAGGATGATTTCTATAATGACGTTCGTAGAGATTTTGTGTAGTAGTTTCCACAATGGAACCTTGCTCGAGACCGTCTTCGCTGGACAAACACGGGCTTCCTAGAAACGAAATCGCCAAAAGCGCACAGGTGAACGCAGTCCTCATGGCTGGTAGATCCTTGCTCTGAAACTTCAGGGCTGTAAGTAACAGATCTCACAATCCTTCGCCGATATATATACCCACGAGCTAGCAAGCACCAACCAGGCGCGCACGTCACTGAATGACGCTAACAATCCCAAGACCAATGATAGGTCTTTTTTTTTTAACATCATAACAGTGGCGTTGTTGACATTTTAGTGCCGCCTATTACCTCCTGTGAACCCCCGCGGAGGTCACTCCTTAATGTTGCTATCGGTCCGAAATGTTAAGCGGAAACATTTGCTTTATGCTGTTCATTAAAGTTTTTTCTGCGTTTGTTCGTTTTCTTTTCCCAGCTGAAATTATGAAATATCATACTTCTCGCCTTTCCACTGCGTCTTTATACTTGCCTTTATTCAAGAAGAAAGAAACACTCTTAACGCTGTGGTTGTAAATAAACGCTTGGAGCAAGAAGAAGGTGCAATCGGCAAGCAAACGAAAGTTAAACAGCATAGAGGATGACAAACTGAAAAGCTGCTTTGAAGAAATGTTCGCGTTAGAAATTTCTTAGATGTTCAGTCGTTTTATTTATGAAGTATATACTTATGTGGGTTATTTTTAATTGTAATTTATGGTCGGGGGTGTAAAAGTCGACTTTTTTTTATACGCAAAGAACGCAATAAACGTGCTTGGAGTCCTTAATTCCAGAACTTTGTTCGACGTATACCCTTGGCGAAACTGGTCACAATGATTAACTGGTCATGGCGGTTGAACTGGTCATACTGGTTGATGGTTGAACTGGTCATGGTGGTTGAACTGATCACGCTGGTTGACTTGTCACATTGGTTTGACAAAAAATATTTTCATTTGTTCGCGCCACCAATGCGCTTCGGAAATCTTTATTATACACTATGTAGACAGAATACGCCAACTACCGCATCAGTCGAATTTGGGGTGTTTTACGTGCCAAACCAACGACGGGCATCTGGCACGCCTTTGGACCACCTGGGGATTTTTGGACGTGCAACAACCAAAAGCTCGGTTACACGGCGCCTCCTGCACAATAAGCCTCCGTCATATTGCGGGCACCTAGGCCTTGATTCGAACCCGCCACATGCCTCTCGCCTTGGAGCCACCGAGGCGGCCTACTACAGCATCAGCTGAACGTACATTGAGCGCATACACATTCACGGCACACACAAACATCAATACAACAGCACACTAACCCGATCCCTACTTTCGAGCTCTGCGTTTCCGTCTTTTATACTGGTCGTTTTGAACGCACGTAATTTCTCGGTGACCGCCTAAGCAATAAAAAACATTCCCAACATGTTGATTTTTTTTCAGCAATGTCATACCTTTGACAGTAATTTGAACGGCTCAGCGGATGAATCTTTTAGTAAAAACTAAACGCCTGATCATGCCGTAATTATTTGAAAGCAAATAAATCAAAGTGAGAAAACCAATAAATAAAGTGAGAAAGGGGGATCAAACTGGTAACCCGTTAGACCAGGCATGTCAATCTGGTTACCAGTTGGACCATTTCGGCCAGTCTGGTGACCAGTTTGGCCAATCTGCTGACCGGTTCGGTCCATCTGGTGACCAGTTAGAAGGAAATCTGGTGACCAGTTTGATCAATAGGGTTATTAGTTAGACCAGTCTGGCTACCATTTGCACCAGTTTGATTTCCTGTTAAACCAGTTTAAATTGCCCCCCCCCCCCCCCCCCCCGAAACACGTTTTCGGAATATTTGTGCTTTGCTCTCCCAGTTCTCTATTCGTTATTTCTTAGAAAATGGCAAATTTATGTCACGCCAAAACCAGCATTCAAATTTTTCCGCGCCGACAGCGGGGAGACACAACACCTTGAAAATGTGAAGGGGAATGGAGAGCAAAGCACTGTATTCACATTTCGTCTTAGTTATGCAGGTTTTAGTACTGAACATTTTCACCCTGAGAACTCGTTGGGTTCGTCCGGAGAGTTCGATTTTTTTTCTTTTTCTGTGGGTAGCTGAGAAATTGTAATCCATTCTTTGGCTTTTTGTTTTATAATTAGCAGGGCTTACACGAATAATCCAAACGATCGAAAACACCGTTTGATGTATTCAATGCGGTGTCGAAAATAAATATCCCTCTTGATTTCTTTGCTAAAGGTCTGCGTTTTAGCGAGCTACACGCGGATTCTGTCCGAGCCCACAAAGCAAACCGGCGAACGACGTTTTGCTAGGGTGCAGTACAAAAAGTCAAATAAAGAATAACAATTGAAAGATCAAGTACATCTGAGGGAAGACCGTTGAGCATCTGGAAAAGGGCAAGACTTTGTGTGTGTGGCACGTGTAAGAGCTAGCGTGCTTGCGGTTGAACTTTGTCTGTATTTTTCCGCTGGATGAACATGTTAATTTTTTTTTCTCGTTATTCTAGAAAAAAAATATCAGCTTCCAGTTATTCTTTATTCATATTCGTGAACAAAAACGCGGCGAATTGCAGCAGTTCGTTACCGAATTAGCGATTCTCTCGCATTACACAAGAAAATATGTAATAGACCATATGCTAGGTTACGCACTGCCAAGGAACATCCTGCGAGAGCGCGCAGAACGTGCAGCACACGCTGCCTTCCGGCGTGCTTTGGTTGCGCGTGTACGCAGGAGGTTCACAAGACGCTCACCTCTCAACGTTGCTAGAAAGCTCGCGCTGCAAGCGTCACGCCTGCAGCGCGAACTTTCTAGCTGAAACTGAAAGAACAATTATCTGAAATAAAATGCACTGGTCAACGCCTTATTGTAAATATTAGGTTCAACCGCGATTTATTTGTAGTCTTTTCTTCGTAAATAACGCAAAGGTTTTTTGTTTTTATTTTTAACAAACGAGTTGCATGCACGCAGCTCCGCATGCAGGTCGGGCTCTCAGGGTGGGCTCGCACCACGGGTTGTTCGCCGCCGATCTAGGCGAGCTAGATTTTGTTCGCCCGGCGTCCACGACTGCCGGCAGGGGCCAACGACCGGCGCGTGGCACGAGCACGCCCCTTAACGCAGCGTAGCTCGGCGAATCTTCGTAGGTAGACATACGTGTGCATCTAATGCAGTAATTACACTTCTCTTCTTGAGAATTTATCAAACGGTAACTGAACAAACTAACAAGCAAACAAATTAGTCCTTAGTTGTTTTTACAGAAGGAGTTTAGTCTGCCAGAACATGGCTACATTCATACCCACTGTAGATAAGCAATTTAGCCAGTGCAGTACAACCGCTAGCGTGGGGTCTTTACCGTGCACAACGCAGTATGATACGCGATCGCACACCGGGGGTGATCGGTGGTCGAGTAGTCTAGCGCATACCAGCTCGGAGCACGTGGAGCGAAAGCTCGCGCTGCAGAACCCAGCGATCCTGGGTTCAATCCCCACCCCTGCTCGTTTAGATCTGGATCAGCATCGCACCCGCGTGCGGTCGTGTATCACTACTCTGTGGAGCACGTTAAAGATTCCAGGCTAGCGGTTAAACTGCACTGTCTAAACTGCTAATCTACAGCGAGTGAATCGTCGCAACTTTGAAATGGTTGACCATCTACACGCTGTATAAATATTCACACAACCCCAATTATTTTACCGCACGCAACCGGATCAAAACAGGCAGGGGTGGGGATTTAAAGGTTGTGGGAGCCGGGGGTGAAAGACGAGGCAGAGGGCACGTGACAGGCGGCCGGCGGAGAAGGCACGAGCTGGGCGAGACAGTGCGAGCTGAGCGAGGCTGGAAGCTGGACAAAGAACGACGGAGCCGGGGCTGCCTAGCCTGGCCCATAACGAACCCCGGAGCGGTCCACCAGCGAGGTCTGGAGCAAGACCGGTGGAAACGGCGAGCCCGGGCCATATGACCTGGGCTATGACGATCCCGGGGTGGTTCCGCAGCGAGACTCGGGCATTGATAGCCCGGGACAGCCAGCCTACGCAGCGCTGGCGTGGGAAAGGCGATCCGCAGGCCTGGACACGGACCCCGACTGTGAGCTCTGATCGACGGGCGACAACAAAGGTCGGCGGGCCTGGACTACTGGCTCTCGACGACGGGCAACCGAGAGGTACAGTTAACCCATTCGCTGTCTTCTCGTTGCAGTGTGTAACTCCCTGGGTCCCCCATAAAGAATCCCCACATCTAAAATGGCGCATCCAACGTGGGGCCCGTTCGGTATGCCTCTGCTTCTAGTCGTCCCCAGAGAGTCCCATGGATTCGTTAAGCGGGTTGTTCACTAACGCTAACGATGCCCGTTGAGACAAAGTATGTTGGAATTTTGGTGACTTGTCTCACAGCAGAGCTCAGCAGGTGTCTCCTCGAATCGAGTACTTAAAGGTCTCGAAGGACGAGGTTGCGGACGCGCGTTCTCGGGTACCCCAGAATAGTGGTTGGCAGAAGGTGACCCAACCGGGGGGAACACGAGGAGCGCGGTTAAGATGTAAGAAAGTCGTCTTCGGAGGCAGAGGAGAGCCACGGCATGTTCGCTGGAAGGCAGGATAGCGACTGGCAGGAGGGAACACAGCCAGGACTTATTCCATATTTAGGATTTAGGCTTGGAGTGATGCGGTAGGCAAGCAAGCGCTTGTCGAGGCCCGGGGTGCAGATGAGGTTTTGTCAGTGGGTGTCGGAAAGATTGCGGGAATTGCAGTCGACACCGGGAACACTGGCGGTCGAGATTGTCAGCGGGTGTTGGGTAAACTGGCGTAAATTGCAGTTGACACCGGGAACGCTGGCAGGCGAGTTAAGGAGCAGTATGATTCGTAACCGCTGGGCCAAGACGGCTAGTTGCTTCGCGTCACTCCAACAACCGACGAAGGGCAGAGGGACGACTCTCCCTTGAGGGGGTCGTTCCGAGAAAGCTGCGAGGTGTTTTATAGGATAATTTCTCGGCTTCACTCTGGCCGGTCGTGGCAGTGACAGCAAGACTTTTAATAAGTTATGTCGCGTCACGACCTGGCCGGGGATGAGGCGGTAGACATTTAGGTGGCTTGTAGTTGTCCAGCTTGCCTTAAGGCGTGAACGGTTT